AGTCCCCAGCGCGAGCTGCGTCCTGAGATAGCCGAAGAATGTGTACTTATCGGGTAAATGGAACCGCCGGCCGTTGTGGCCTTAGTTCGCGCACATGACATCGGAGTCCTAACTCCGTCCTAACTAAGGCGATCTGTACATTCTAGTGGTCAGGAACAGATACACGTGTCCTCCCCTGACTCATAGCGCAAAGCTAAATATAAAAGGGGAATGCTGGTACCAAGGGCCTTAAGGGAGATGAAGCATGACGTTCACAGATATACCAGAGGGAAAAGCGTTTTAGCGCTTAATGTCTGTTGCAATGAATTAAAAAGGCTCCCTGTGGAAAGAAGGTCCAGAGAAGGGTTCGTAAATCGAATTTCCATCATTCTAGGTTGCGGAACAACTCTTTTGGGGATCAAACCGAAGAACACGATGCTAATGTTGCCGTCTACATTGGGACTGAGATTGCAACTGAAAGATCTGTTTTCGAGCCCAGCGATGGTTTGAACTTTTGCAACAGATGTAGACGTGGAGGAAGGATACAGCCTCCGGCGAAATGTCTAACCAAAATTTCACTCATTTGTCAACTACCAGGTGTTCTGGGATACACTGGTGGTGATCTAATAAAGTATTGGTTTCCCTTCAACCCAGTAGACGAAGTCGCAGTACTCAGGCACCTACAATAATAATGGAGTGATGAAGTTCGGTAGGCGATTTTGTTGCGATTCCAATTGTAAAGTACATGTAATTCTTCCAAGAAAGCAGTCTTTCTCAACCAACAAAGCTAAGGCCGGCTGGGCAAGGGTTGCCATGGCCTTAAGGTTTCAAATAAGCAAAGCTGAGGGTTAACCTGTACTAGCATCTATGCGGGAGAGGACTTTCTCACAATCAATGACCGGTGGTGCTTGACAAACCAATACCTAACAGCACGAGTGCATGCCGGTCGTAAAGGAAGGAACTTGGATTGTTAAAATACCAGCTGTAAGTAAGACCTTCTTTATCTCAAGGATACTGCGATCGTGCGTAAAACGCGACCCATAATCAACTCTTCAGATTTAACCTCGAAAGAAGAGCTGTAACAAGAAGTTTGCGCGTCCCACGTTTCGGATTTTCACTAAAAGACAGCATCGATACGGTCGCCGATAATTGCGATGACCCAGCACCAGTGACAATATCAGTTCGTCTGAGTAATTATCATATCAGGCATCGACAGCAGTGACGAAATTACGGTAATTAACAACTCGTATGCGGGCAGGCCATTAGACATTACACGCAATACGGTTAATACGACACCCGGTAATTACTATAGGCATGTGACTTCAGCACCCTCATCATAGGTCCGAGTGTAAATTTCTAATGTCAGGCGAAGACATTTCTTGTTCCAGCGTTCGCGTCTCCTTCTTTTGAACTGTTTCCTGTAACTCTACTGCCCCAAAGCTGCATTACCTTATCTGCCTCTTATCTAAAGGCAACTGAGGCGCACTGCGTGTCCCGCTTCGAGGGACTGTTCATGGGTTTCTGATTGTAAATGCTCGGTGCGAATAGAAACGTTGAGGAATATTGTAAACTAAAGTAACATAATAGACTTTTACGTTGGATAAAATGAATTATCAGAATTGCACCGTGAAATATGAGGAGGGCTTCACGAAGTAACCGAAGAAAAGAAGGATGTTGATGATGACGGTGACGATGATGATGTTGATGATGATGATGATGATGATGACGATGATGATG